AAAGCTCTAAATCCTTGATCCAATGATCTAAACTACTCATCAGTTGAGGGAGTTTTCATACTGGGAGTTCTCCATACTGCTGAAATAAAGTACTGGACCAAAAAAAAATATTGGCCATCATTGGGTTGTGTTTGTTTCTTCTAATTGCTAATTACAGTTCAGCTCAAAGGTAGATTGGTCCATGAAAACTATTACAGACCAAAGGTATATTTAGAATAATTAAACTGCCCTTTCTAAATTGTCAGCAGATAAAGGAGCTTTGCTACAGATGTCTATCATGGAGCTAAAAATCTTACATTCCCCCCAGGGACTGCAGTCACATTTTCATAAATGCAAAGCCAGTTTGTAAAGAATTACCATTTGTACCCTTGACTTGAACTTCTGGAAAGAGAAAGACAAAATGACAGAGGCAGAGAGAATTAATCTTGTTTTGTTCTTTGACAGCTTGAGATACTTTTACCAAACCTATATTAAATAATAACAGTTGGTTGGTTTATGATCCTTAGAGTTCTAGAAATGGTTAAAAATAGAAGAATGTTTATCTGCCCACTACCATCAAAATAATTTAAATATTCAGATAACCCAAATACACCAAGAAAAGACTAATATGATAGTGCTGTGAGTTACGTAGTCTTTGCAAATGCCACTCCCTCCTCCCCCTCCCCCCACTTCATCAAATTTAAAATGGTTTTGATGTTGGTTTTGGTCAGCCTTGATTTTTGTTGTTAATTTGGAAATTGTCCAATAAGCTATATATTAAGTAGGAATGTATGTATGTGAAGGAATAAGTAACTACAATCTCACATGGTGTTTTCAATAAAATGATCTATTTTTCTGAACTTCATCCAGAATATTCCCTTACAAAGTAAAAATGGTTTTCACCTGCTAACAGCTGTTTTCTCTGTTTTTAATTTTTTGTGTGGTAATGAGGTGAGGTAAACTGATAATCTGATTCCTCACTTGCATATAGATAGTGCAGTCATTCCAAATCTAAAGATTTTCAGGGAGAATGGAAGCCTTATTAAGAGGTGGTGCTTTTTATACAGTCAGTACTCTCAACTCCAAACTAGTTCTGAAATCACACTTCTACATTTATAACAAACTCCTTTTTAAAACCTGTTTCATATCATTCTGTACTAAGAAAACCTGATGATAAGGAAAGGTTATAGATGTTCTAGAGTGACTGTTTTGCTGATAGCACACACTCCCATTCCCTACTTTTGAGTAGGGTCAAATCAAAGGAAAAGATGGATGATGACCTCTTTGTTCAGATACTGTTACCTAGTACCTGCCTAGTACAATGCTTATTTGATCCACGGTACGTGAAAATCCTCAGGTCAAGAGGAGGTGTAAGAACTGACCTATTATGTGAGGATCATGCATGCTCACCAGTTGGCCCTTCTCTAAAGATTTATTCTCCTTCTGGTAGACCTTTTATAATGCCTTCTCTTTTTAACACAAGACCACTAAACAAGACTGTTAAGAGGAGGAGATCCAAAAGGAGAAACCAAGTGTCAATATATTTGACTTTGTCCATAGTTAAATTACTTTACTTATAGGCTGCAGGGAACCTGAAATTCTGAAACTCAGAGAATTATTGCATGTACTACCACAATAGCATAATGTTTTAGAGTTGGAAGGTCATTAAGTAAGAGGTCATTAAGTCCATCCTATCCTATACTGCAATCTCTATATAATCCTGATAAGGGTGTTATGTAGGCTCTGCTTTAATGCTTCCAGTGAAGGGACCCATAATATCACGAGACAGCCCTAATCCATTTTTGGACAAGCTCATATTCTTAATTCCACCTTATGTTGAACCAAAATGCCTTCTTTTAACTTCCAGCCATAAGTTCTAGTTCTGTCATCTGGAGCTGCAGAAAAGAAGCTTCATCCTTTTGACTCTATGACTGTCCTTCATCCTCTCAAATCAATCAACAAGTATTTACATACCAGCTTTGCACAAAATGGTGACTAGTATTGTGACAAAAAGACATTTATGATACTGTCCTTGCCCTCAAAAAGTTTATTCTCTAATTGGGGAAGCATAGACTTGAGAAACTAAGGATACAACGGATGTCATAGATTTTCTGTTTCAACAAAATGAGTATTATCAATAATAAAGGTGTGAGTTTGGGGGAAGAAGGGATAAGTTTATGTTAGAGTGTTCTGAAAAGGCCTTATAGAGGAAGTATAATTCAGTTATGCCCTAAAGAAAAAGTCAGTTGTGGTAGGTTTTTTCCTTATATCCACAGAAACTAGTCTGGGCTGATTCTTAAATTTTGGTATAATAGTCCAAACCAAGGTATCAGTTATTTCAGAGAAACCTAATGGATACTTAACTTGTGAACCACACACCATGTTAGTAAATTCTTCTTACCTAGAACTTTTAAAAATATTATTTTCTGTTTTCACCCAACTTTTTCTCCACACTTCCCTGATTTATTCAGTTAAGCTCAGTGGAAAGTAGCTTTATTCAGCTGTCTCCTATCTGTAAAGGGACATTTACCTGTCAGTAGTTTTTTCTTGCCAAACCTCAGCCCAGAGTTACTCCCACCATCTACCTCTTCCACTCCTACTTGAGAGCTACTGCACACAGCTGACAGAAGTCTTGCAACTGTGCTGACTGGATATATTACAAATTCATGTTATCCAACCTCAGTTGGGCCCTCCTTGCATCAAGACAGGCGTTTTATTTCTCCCTAACTGGTTCCCTGTCTCTCTTCCCACAGGAGCTATTCCACAACTTCTCTTCTCTCTTTAAGCCTCCTTTCCCACCCTCCACATCTCCTAAGCTGAGGAACTTGCTTGTTACTTTATTGAGAAAATTGGGACCATTCAAGGAGAGCCTCTTCTCCCACATAAGTTTCTCACATTCTCTTTATCTCAAAATCCCTTGACAATATTTCCCTCTCTCTCTTCCTTTCCCCAGTATCTGACAAAAAAAAGTGCCCCTTTTTTGCCAAGGCCAACCCCTCTACATGTATACTTGATCCCATCTTTTTCTAGCATAGTGTATTGTCTTCCCTCTCAAATCTTCAGCCTCTTTCGGTCAACTAGTTCCTTTCCTACTGTGTACACATCCAAGTCTCCTCTATTCTTTTTTTTTTTTAGGCAATTGGGGTTAAGTGACTTGCCCAGGGTCACACAGCTAGTAAGTGTCAAGTGTTTGGTCTGAAGCCAGATTTGAACTCAGGTCCTCCTGACTTCACAGCCGGTGCTCTATCCACTGCGCCACCTAGCGGCCCCCAAGTCTCCTCTATTCTTAAAAGAAAATAATAATAATACAAATAAAAAAACCGTTCACTGGACTCTGCCATTCCTTTAAGCTATCAGACAATATATCTCCTCCTCTTCTCAGTCAAACTACTTGAAAAAGTTGTCTATACTCCTTATGTTTGTTTCTCAGTCTCTTGCAGTCTGGCCTCCAAGCTTATCGCTCTACTAAAACTACTCTTTCCAAGTTTCTAATGATCTCTTAATTGCCAAATCTGTTGGTCTTTTTTTATTCCTAATCCTTCTCAACCTATATTCTTCATTTGACACTATTGACCACCTTCTCCTCCTGAATACTCTCTCCTGTCTGGATTTCTGTTACACTGCTCTCCCCTAGTTTGTCTCCTACATTCCTGACCTCTCTTTCTCAATCTCTTTTGCTGGCTCTTCAACCACATTGCGGCTTTAACTGGATGTTCCCCAAGGTTTTGTCCTGGGTGTCTTCTCTCTCTACATTCTCTATTGGTAACATCAGCTCCCATGAATTTAACTTTTCTCTCTATGCAGATGACTCCTAGAACTACATATTCATCTCCAGTCTATCCCTCAAGCCTCCATCTTGCATTAAGAATTAATTATGTGTTAGACATTTCAAACTGGATGTCCCAGAGACATCTTAAACTCAACTTATTATATTTCCCTTGACTTTCCCCTCTTCAAGACTCCCCTCTTTCTGTTGAGGGCACTACCATCCTTCTACTTTCCCAGGTGTGTAACCTCAGTAATATCCTGGCCTCTTCAGTATCTCTTACCCCACATCATTTCTGGTAGTTTCCTATTATCTCTACAATAAAATATAAACCCCTCAGTTTAGATTCGAAATTTTTCACAGTCTGCCCCCAACTTCTCTGTCCAGCCTCATTGTGTGTTACATCCCATCTTAAATTCTGAGATCAGCTAAACCTGCCTTTTCTTTGTTCCTCATACACAACACTCCTTCCATCACCATGCCCTTTCATGGCTGTCTCATATTCCTGAAATCTTCTTTACCTCTACCTCATACAATCCCTTTCTTCCTCTAAGACGCAACTCGAGTACAGTCTTCTGCATGAAACCTTTTCTTCTAATTTCTCCAACTGTTAGTGCCTTTTTCTCAGATCACCTTGTATATAACTACTTTGTATATATTTGTATTTATGCTGTATGTATTTGTATCTGTCCTTGTTGTTTTCCCCATTAGAATGTTTGTTGCGTATAGCGATTACTTCATTATTTGCACCTAGTGCCTGGCACGTAATAGAAATTTAATAAATACCTGTTACTTAATTGATTAATTACAATAAAGTACTTCTTTCTAGTCCTAATAGGAGACCTATCAGTGTCTGTTTAAAAGTTATGTCAAAGACAAATTGAGCAGGATCTTAGCAACAGAATATCTCATAATTATATGGATTTCTATGTACTTTGGATAAAATTGTCCCAGAAACATAACTCCAAACAAGAGAAACATGATCTAGTATAGCCTATAGAAGCAAATGGTAGCACCCCACCATCACCAAAAAATTACCAGTGGTATAAAAGGGGTCTTACACCAAATACAAGGCTCCCAGTACTCTCTGGTTTTTATTTAGTCATCTGATAGGAAAGAAAATTGATTTTGTCAAGATCTCTTCTAATGATATCTTTCAAATCTATCTTGTCCTATTTTATTAATGTGTATTTTTGCTGGATTGTCCTGCCTGAAATTGTATTCTGAAGTGCAAATGTGACTTTTTGCATTGCAGACGTGCCCACCTTCGCTTGTGCCTTGAGAAGCTGAAGGGGCTCGTACCGCTTGGACCTGAGTCGAATCGTCACTACTTTAAGCTTATTAACAAAAGCAAAGTTACACATAAAGGCGAGTGTACATTTGGCTTCCTCCCTTGAATTTCTAACTGTCCATTAAGAGCTTTTCTTGGTTTTGAAGGTCTGGACTGCTTGTTAACAAATAGTTTATATGAAGAGTAATATTATATTCACTTTATTCCATATCGTAGTCATCAAGATTCCTGCTTAAAATACTTTTATATTTACTTCCTTGGTAGGAGAAACACTCGTTTGACTTCTGGTTGATAAGTCTCTTAAGATAATCCTGGGAAAAGATACCATCATTTAAAACTTTCTGCTCTGAAACAGAGGTGTCAAACATGTGGCCCCAGTGTTCCCAAGTGAAGTTCAATCTACATTAAGAAGTACCAATCTGATTTTAATTCTTTGATATATTAATGAAATAAAAAATATATAAATGTGTGGTTTTTTAAGTCCGTATGCTTCCCATAGAAGTCCTTAGTACGGTTTAGTGGCCCCTCTTTTTATTTGAGTTTGACACTGCTGCTGTAAAGGATATTGTTCTGATGACAGGGAATGTGGCACGGGGAGGGATGTGTTAAAATGAGCACTCCCTGGAAATGTGAATGATGTCTGAGCTCTTATGCTGGGTAATTAAGATAATGGCTTAAAAAGAACTGTTATTATGGGCTTTGAAAGAAGTTAATTTGATGCTTAACATGACACAAAAAAGTACTTCTGTAACTGAGGAAGATAGGTTGAGTAAAAATGACTTTAAATTGAGGTATATTTCTCAAGACCCTTTAACCTATAGCTTCTTCAAAGCCCTTCAAATATTGTGAGACTTCAAGTTCAGTGTGTCTCCCTAGACATGTAAGACAGAGCCCGGAGCATTCTTGACCCCAAAGCTAGGATGCTGGGGTACTAGACCACATTCTTCAGGGGGCAGGTGGTGCAGTGGAAAGAGCCCAGGAAGTGAAGCCACAGGACCTGGCTTCAAGTCCTGCCTTGCAGACTCATTGACCATGTGACCTCAGAAAAGGTACTTAACCTTTCTGGGCCTCTGTTTCCTCATTTAAAAATGAACTAGAAGGAGTCTATGATTCCTTCATGATCTAAAGCTGGGATCCCTCTAAGGAAATGAGTACTGATGTCATAGACATTGGAGGACAATAACATTGGCTCCCCAGTGAACTTCCTTTCTGAGAAAAGCAAGAAAGTCAAGACACCAAAAAGCCTTCTGGGGACAGGAGGGTTTTTCAGGAATGAGACACAGATTCAAGGTAGTTTTAATTACGGGTTTAAACCTAATCTAAGGATTCCTCTGAAAACTCCTTTAACCTGCAGAAGCTTGAAGACTGTGACAGAAAAGCAGTACACCAAATAGACCAGTTACAACGAGAACAGCGGCACCTGAAAAGGCAGCTGGAGAAATTGGGCATTGAGAGAATAAGAATGGACAGCATAGGATCAACAGTCTGCTCAGAACGCTCTGACTCAGACAGAGGTGAGACCCTCTTTGCTGTGACTGGGATTGTATTTTGAAATGTCTTCCCTTTGCTCCTCCACATCCATATTTTCTTTTCTCTATGCTCCACAAAGAATAGTACTCTTGATGTTTATAAATTGCTTACCTTAACAACTCTGTAAGGTAGGTGGTGCAAGTGCAAGGATCACCCCTAACTTAACAGATGAGAAAACTGAGGCTCAGAAGGATATTCAGTAACCTGCCTGTGTTCTCACAGCTAGAAAGTATCAGAGCCAAAATTCAAACAAAGCTCCTTTGACTCCAAATCCAGCACTCTTTCCTGTAATAACCATGTTACCTCCTTGGCATGATGCAGCCTAAATTGAAATGGAGAACTGCCACTCATCTGAAGAACTTAAGCAGTGGCTAAAATGGATTATTTCAGGAAACAATCTTTTCCCCTTCAATTCCCCACATACATTCAGGGAGGGAAAACCGTTTTTGCATTCATTGGAGTTGGGGCCTGAGTTGTCTGCTCTGTTGTGACTGTGAATTCCCTCAATTCTCCATTTTGCTCTTCTCTATAGAAGAAATTGATGTTGATGTTGAAAGCACAGACTATCTCACAGGTGATCTGGACTGGAGCAGCAGCAGCGTGAGTGACTCGGATGAGAGGGGGAGCATGCAGAGCCTCTGCAGTGACGAGGGCTACTCGAGCTCAAGCATTAAGAGAATAAAGCTACAGGACAATCACAAGACTTGTCTCAGTCTATAAGAGACGGCTCTAGAAGTGGCTGCCTTCCTTATGGTTTTCCCTTTTGGATCTTATTAGGTAGTATATTGGACCTTCCCACAATTCCCTTGCACGTGAAATTTCAGTGTACCACCACCTTTACCCAAATCAGCTTTGCCTAAGTTTTCAGAAAAAAAGTGCATAGGGTTGTGGGTTTACAAAGCTACTCTCTGGAGTACACATCTGATTGCATCCACTAGCTTCTCTTTCTGTCCATAAAAATTCATCTCTGTGAGACTGTACATTCCAACCAAATTTGGAAACATCCAAGAATATTTAGACTTAGAGCCAACTCCCAAATATCAGTAATTTCCCCTTTTACTTATTGTCATCATTTAGTCTTCTCAACCTATCTTAAATTCTTCTGTTTGCTATGTTTATGTATCTCGTCTAGCAAAATTGTTCGATCGTGACTTCTGTTCAAAGAACCTGAAGGAACCAAACTTTTCAAGTTGAGATCCTAATCTCAGAACTATGAAGTAAGCTTTGAAAAGAGCATTTAAGAGCGCTTAACTGTGTGCCTCACCCCAGGTTTTCCTGGGAATGCTAGGAAAAAAATCCCTAATCCTCTGAAAACTTACCCCTCAAACACTGCACATGAATTTCTTCGGACCCGTATGTAGCCTTGGGCAATATCTCTTGCTTTAAACCAGGCACCTCGACTGGACAACATGTCTTCGGGGTTACACAACTCATCACGTTTCTTGAATGTTTTTCTCACCAACTAAATGGTACCATCTATCCCCATCTCATGTTCTGGGGATTGCACCATATTATCTATCGCTGAATAGTGCTGTCCCAAGACACACATTTATTTTTCCTCAAAGTTTAATACTACTTGTCTCTGGGATAATTTTTTTTTCTACCTCAGAGATGAACAAGATGATCTCCATTTCCCATTAGCACAAAAAATGATTATGCCTCTTTAAAAGAAAAAGCAACATTTGGTCCAGTTCCAATCTATTTTCCTATTTAACCTTCAGCAATAATTGAGCTGTAGAGCTAGCTGAGCTAGCTTTGTCATTAATGAAAGGAAAAGTTCACATTGCTACTTTCTATGTTGCAAGTAAACACAAGGGGATAGTACAATGTTACTACAGTTCCTCACCTTGTTGAATTATTTTTAGACACTCCCAGAAACTTGTTTATGGAGGCTTTGGGGTTGCTAATTTAGAAAGCTGATTTCTTTCCCCTCTTTGGCCATGGTTTCTCCCCAGCTTGGTCCCCCACCTTGTAGCATTTTTATTTAAGCTTAACAGAGCACATGTATATGTACATAAACACATTAAATCTATAAATACTATTTATTCATTTTTATATAAACCAATGTAATGGAGAAGAAATTCTTACAACATGCTTTTATAGATGTTCTGGAAACTTTGTATGTAGATACCTGCTCACTAAAATCTGTTCATTTTCCCCTTAATCTTTTTCTTTTGAACATTGTAAGGCCTTCATATTTTGCGCCTCTTTGGCTAATCTGTTCATTGAATTTGGACCATTCATAAGATGCATAAAACTAAAATACAGCAACTGGCACAAGGTGATTAGAGCGGTCCCAAATGCCGTAGATACTTCGCAATTTTAAGGGCTACATAGCTTAATCAGTGATAGACAACCACCATGGGCTTTCTTGCTTGCCTGCAATCTTTACCATATGTATGTATCTTCAGCCTGATTATACATCTAGCTGCCTCAAACCGTTCCATATGCTCTACAGTACAAATTCAGAGAGAGCCTATGCTCAGACTTTAAAATTGATTAGCAGCCTGAATAAAACTAGATTACTTTTAGGATATTTTTTAAAATGATTCTTTATTGAATTTTAAAAATATGGGAATTAGGGCTAGTGGATTTCTTAAACTCCAAAGTCTCTCCTTGTTTTTCCCCTTCCTTTTTTGTGCTATTTAATTTTATTTTTGTGGGGAAAAAGGGGAGGTGGGAGGGTGGAGTAAAACAGAAGGATTTTTTTTTTAATAGCTGGAACTTTTTCTGATTACCAGCAGAAGATTTGCACTGAAATACAACTTGTATGCCTTTTGCATTTATTAAGCCTGCTTCCTGAGTCCAAGCAGAAAGATAGTGTTAAGAGAGTTAGCTCAGCCTGTAACATGTTTGGAAAAGGTACAGATATGCCTGCACTTTGAGGTACCTGCTCTGATGCCCTTTGCAAGACCTCACAAGCATTTTGTTGGTTAATGAAATGTTACATTTGAACCACCTTCACAAGTCCAAGCCCCAAGTTGTAGATGCTTTAAGGCATCGGGAAGTGTAGATTTGAGGGGTAGGGAAAGCTTGTGGGCCTGAATTGGGGGAGGGAACAAAATTGTGTATTTGTTTATTTAATTTAGAAATAAGGCGTCTGAGAGCCGCCAGTATTTTCTGTGTTTTAGTTGTTGTGCCTTTGATTTAAAACTGCATTTTTGTCTCTTTGGTTGAAATAATATTAAATGTGTTGTCCCAATATAAAACAGTAATTCTTAGACCTTCACACTGTTTGTCTGGTCCTTTTCAATTTGATTGCGTAGAAATGTGGAAGTTAGTATATAAATATATGTGTGTATACACATACGTGTATATATATTTATACACATATATTAATGCACTTATGTCAAACTGACACCAGGGTTAGACATGGCTTTCAAAAGTTCTAAGCAGACAAAGTTAGCTTGCCAAGCTGGGCTCCAGGGTGACCAATTCCTAAATTATTGGGACCAACCCTGGCAGTTTCTTCTCTGTGATCCTCTTGGTTGTAAACCAACTCATGCCAAGGCAGCTAATTCCCCCCACGTTGCTGAAATGGTAGCACTGATTTGCCAGCCTTTTCTCTCCAATTCACTGATCCACCAGCATTATTGTTAAAGAGCTGCATCAGGGGTTTTGTTTGTTTGTTTTTTGTTTTTATTAAAAAGAAAACCTTTTTAGATGGGGTAGTTGAGGTGGGGGAGGGGAGGGGCCAAACATGTAAACCCCTAGCCTTTAAGACTTTGACAGTTGTACCTATGGATAGATATGTATGTACACATAGCTACATGCATGTTTCTGTGTGAAAGTTGATTTAAACTAACACCCAATCACGGCATTCTTGGGTTTCACCGTTGTAATGCAAATGGTGAAATTGAGACTTGTGGTCCTTCTTTGGAACAAACAAACCAAACTCTTGCACTTAGATAATAAGCTTAATGAAATTCTTACAGTAACATATGTATATGTAGCATGTCACTGTTCTATTTTAACATCCCAAAAAGTATTGTCTTTATTATTTGGGGCTTTGTATTGAGTGCTGAGCACCCATTGTGTATTTATTTCAGGCTTTCTTCTGGTAAGCAGAGCTCTTGAATTCTTCAAGGTGCTGATAGCCACGCCATGTGAATTTCTTGAGTCACAAGGTTAATGCTAATTTGATACCAATTCAAAGAGCACAGCACTTTGAGCAGACCAGGGAACTCTTCTGCCTGTCCTTAAACAGGCAGAAACGATTTCAATACTGTGTTTCAGTGTTGGGCATTATGTGGGGTCTTGTTCTTGGCCAACCACTTTAGCACTTTGGTTGGGGGGACTCTCTGGCACTTCCCCTCATCCTGCACCTCGGGTTTGTTGTTCTTGTTTTTAAATGAAATGAAACAAAACTTCTGACTTGCGTTCCACTGCCTCTGCCCTGACCCCCTGAGATGTGGCCAAGAATACACTGTGTATTTGAGAGGAGGATAGTACTCAGTCCACATCAACGAATGAAAGCAGTAACAATCTAACAATATTTAGGACTGGATGAAGGGGTTGGTAGGGTTTCCTCTTTCTGCCCCCACTTGTGTATTAATTTCAAGTTTTGCCACTGTGCTATATTGGGAAGGTTTCTTTTCTCTCTCTCTCTTCTTTTCTTTTCTTTTTTTCTTCTTTCTTTTTCTTTTTACCATGCTCTAGATGATCTCTAGTTGCCTTGTCCCTTATTTCCTCTTGGCTTCTCTGATATCCTACTCACCTCCCTTCCTTTCAAATTGGATATCTGGTGGGAAAAGGCAAGCACGTCAACATGTGAGAAAAATACCTATTACTTGCATGGTACAGCTACACACCAACAGTTGTGGATAGATAGCTGGCTACTCCTATTTAAAGTTCTTCCTGGGAGGAGAGAATCGAAATGGGCCCCAGATAAATGTGATGCCTCGTCTACATAATTCTCAGTGCTATAAGATATTTTCTCTTTCTTTCTTTCTGCTACCTGAGTGGGATGTGATAAGTGTGATTTATCATGGTTGGTTTTGGGGGGCTTTTTTAACTCTCCATATTTATGACATGAATGAATTTCTTGTGCCATAGACTTATGAGAAAATAATTGATTGACTGGCACTGCTAGATCCAGACTATTATTTTCAAAACAGCTGTTGCATGACTGAAAAAATTGAATATCTTTGTCTTCTAGCAAAATCATAAAAATCAGAGTCAGTAAAGTGGCCAATCTGTAGATTTATCTAGATTTAGTTTATCTTAAACTTTTCTTTCTTTTTTTTTGGCAGTTCTTTTAAATTTTGCCTAAGAACCACACTTGCCTTTATCCCTCCCTTATTCCTAGAATTGGTGCTCTTTGTAATATTGCTCTTTAAAATCATCAGTTTGGGGGTGGGTATGTCTTCTGAAGGGTAAATACATCCTAAATAGGGGGAGCAGCAGATGGGAGAGTGTGAAATTCTGTTTCCAGATGTTCAGTTCCTAATGTAAATACCACGCCAATGTAAATCCTGGGTCAAGACCATAGAGAATGGTGCTTTTACTACAGTGAGCACATGCATTTTTAGAAACTACATGTTTTAGAGATCCTTGCTGTGTATATGTAAACTTCTGTATTGTTCAACTGTTAAAAATAAGAAGAAAAAGAAAATAAATTATTTCATTATTAAAGAAATTTGTCTCACCATAATTTCTTTCTCAACTCCTCAGCTTTTCATGATCTCTCCGTATGTTGTCTGGGTTCACTATTTGGATTTTGAATTTTAATCCTCCAAATTAACCAAAATTTTTTTTAGCATATATGTATTCTCGTACACAATATGCATTCAAATTTAGATCACATAGGACTGCCAGTTGCACCCAGCTATTGTTCAAACTTTTGTTACATTGGCCATCATATACACCTAAATTAGACTACTGTTGAATATCCTGATGGATTATAAGAGCCTTATGCTATGGTGATATTCTCAAAAAATACCTATTTTTATTTGATTTCAAAAACTGAAAGCTATATAGGATGAAGAGTGAGCTGTAAAGGACCTTAGAACATAGAATGTCAAAGCTGGAAAAGACCTTACTGATCATTCAGTCCAGGACTTCTTAACGTTTTTTGTGTTTTATGAATCCCATTGGCAGTCTGGTGAAGCTATGCACCCCTTCTCAGAATAATGTTTTTAAGTGCATAAAATAAAATGCATAGGAATACAAAGGCATCCAGAGAGTAATGAAAATAAAGGTGTAATTATTTTTTTTATCCAAGTTCATGGGCCTTCTGAAATCTCTCCACAGGACTCTTTAGGGTCCATTGACTCCAGGTTAAGAACCCCTTATCTAGTCCAACCCCCTCATTTTATATGTGGGAAAACTGAGACCTAGAGAAAAGTGATCTGAATAAGCCGAAAAGCTAGTGAGTTTCTACACTAAACTTGCCAGTTTACAATATCGTATTCCCTGGTAAATTCATGATCCTCGATGGCAGAAATTTGGCATGGTTTTTTTGTTTGTTGTTTATTTTTTGTTGTTGATGCTTTTTGCCTTTTTAACCCTAGTACCAAGCCAAGGGCCTTCAACACAGTAGCTGCTTAATAAATGACACAAACACAGGTCTTCCAATTCCAGGTCTAGGTCTTTTTTTATTGTACCAAGCTAGCTACATAAGAGAGGTGACAAAAAGAAACATGTAATCCTGGTTGCTGTACGCTCCAGGGATTGTTTGTTGCTGCTCGTCAACACTGAGGTAACATGGTGGGAACAGAAAGAACCATGGACATGGAGTCAGATCCCAGTTCACATTCTGGTTTGGCCATTTTGACCTGGAGCAAACCACTTTTAAGGTATGGAGAGGGAAGGATATATGATCCCTCTTCCTAAAAATTAATTCTTCTTAAAAATATTGTAGATATCTTACGAGCATTTGTGTAGGTGTAGTAGTAGTAGTAATAAATAATAACTGACATTTCTGTAGTTTTGCAATGTTTGCAAAATGTTTTCTTTGTAATAATCCTATGAGATATAGTGTATTTGCTCCATTTTACAGGGGAGGAAACTGAAACCTAAAGAGGTTAAGGACTGGAATGAAGACTGAGGAATCCTGACATCAAATGCATCTTTCATTTTACTGTACCACAATATCTTGGGGCTTTACTATGTAATGTGTGTCCTAGGGTGCATTCCATTGAAGTATTACAGCTCTAAGTATTCTTTGAGTATTCCCAGTAGCAGTACCTTTGCTACTTAACCTTAAACTTCTCTTTGGCCCCAGATGCCCCATCTAATAATAACAATAGCAATAATAGCTAGCATTTATATAGCACTTAATGTGTACCTGGCACTAAGCTAAGTGCTTTACAAACATCATCTCCGTGTGATTTTCAAAACAACTCTGGGAAGTAGGTGCTATTATTATCTCCATTTTACAATTGGGAAAACAGAGGTTACAGGAATTGCCCAAGGCCACGTGGCTGGTAAGTTTCAGAGGTGGGATTTGAACTCAGGTCTTCTAGACTCCAGGCCCAGCATTCTATCCACTGTACCACTAGCTGCCTCAGTTGTAAAATGGGCATTGCCTCAAGGCACTGTGCTCCACGAAATATTATGAGGTCCATTCTAGTTCAGATCTGTAATTCACTGATAAGTTTCTTTGGATGGTGTCCAAAATAGACCTCTCTGATCCTAGATTGTGGGATACATGAAGAAAATGTTCTAACAAGAATTTGAGCTCCCATTTACTGAGGCAAAGTGAGGATTTCTTAACAGAAGCAATGGGAAAGCCCACTGAATTTGAAAGACTTGGAAGTACCTTGCACTTCTCTGGCTTAGTCTTTGAAAATCCAGGGTGACCCTTATACCACATTGACCCTCAGGAGCAGTATTTTGGGTATAGGCTTTGATGGTATCATTTTGTCCTCATTGCCTCCCAACTCGTTCCTCCCAGTAAGCCTGCGCTTTTCTCTATTGTTGAAGAACTCTTTGGAGATGCTGTGGAAGTATTTTTAAAAACATTTCTCCATCGTTACTTCTCCCCTAAGAACACAGGAAATGCCATACTTACTGGCTTCTTTAATCTTTAGAGTATTAATGCTGGTGTTCCAGAATAGTAGTTCAGGACTTTAGTTTCCATAGCCATAAAATGTTGTTGAGCTGCTAGATAATCTCTAAGGTTCCTTCCAATTCTAATTCCTATGAGCCTCCATGTAATAGTCATTATTTAGAGAGCTATCATTAATGCAAGAGCCACGTTTGATGGTTCATTGTTATTGAGTTAAAATGGGATAGAATAGGAAAGCATTTATTAAACACTTTCTATGTGCCAAGTACTGTGCTAAGCCAGGAATACAAATAGAAAAGTGAGAGCAATGGTTCCTTTTCCTATGGAACTCACACTCTAATTGAAGGAGATAACACTTGTAGAAGGGTTCAGCTTCCAGGGCTCCTAATGGAAAGGCTTGCTGGTCCTCGGAGAGATGTGGCAGAGCTGATAACAAGACCCAGTAGTCTTGCCTTATTGGATAGGTGGGATCTGGGTGGACGGGGTTCAGGGTAGGACCTTTGTGGTGAGGAGTCCTAGATGGTTCTAGGACTCTGGGAATCTCTTGCCAAGTGGGGTTCAGACTAGAGTGGTCGAAGGAGAGTTCATCAGATGTGGTCCTGTGGCAGTTCTTATAAGCTGGCTCTCTGGCTGCTGTAGTTGAGTTTCAACCAACTAATATGCTCACGGAATTAAGATCTAGAAGGAGCCTCAGAAACCAGCTCATCCAACTTCACCTTTTAACCATGGAGAATAGCTCCAGAGCGAATCTATGCAACCGAACAGGAGGCAAAAGGTAACTGGAGAAGGAAAACAATGGGTTTCAGGTCAGTAGAAACTAGAGATCAAAAGAAACTCCTTGAAGGGAGCCAGAAATAGGCCAAAACAAAAGTGGAAATATACTATTTCATTCATTGTATTTGCAACCCAAGTACCTGGCACATAGTAGGTGCTTAATAAGTGATTGTTGATTGATTGAGGTTCAAAACATCATGGGGCTCCCCAAACTGAGATAAAGACTAGATTTGGGTGCTTGAGAAAAGTGGCAGAGGTGAAAGAGGAAGCACATTCCAGGAGTGGGGACAGCCAGTGCAAAGTCTCAGAGATGCGAGATGGAGTAGAGCAAGTAGGCCAGCATAACTGGACTGTAGAGTGTACAGAAGGAAATAAGTGTAAGAAAATTGGAAAGCTAGGGAAGGGCCAGGTTGTAATGGACTTTAAATGCCAGAGGAGTTTATATTTGATCCTAGAGGGAATATGGAACCACCAGAAAGGGCTCCCATTCTTTGGTGTCATTGTAAAGATGGGGAACCAACTCTTCCTCTGCACAGGACCAGACTCATCTGTGCCCCATCTACAAGATTTTGTCTCCAATGATGGTGCCTCAAGGGGTCAATTGTGGAAGGGTCTTGGGTGGTTTTCCATAACTTCTACTTCAAATAGTAAATTGTTATTCAACATGCTCACCTTCTCATTACCTCTATCAATTTACCTCAACAGCTTCCCTTTAATCCCTCTTTTGCTTTCACCCCCTCCCTAACCTCTCTGCATCTCAGTTTCCCCATCTGTAAATTGATTAGATGATCTGTAAGATTACATTGAGCTAAACAAAAAAATCTTTGATTCTGTCATTCTGTGCTCCACAACATCCCTATAACTTCTTCCCTCATTTGTTTCTTGGTCCATGCCATTAGACTATGGAAAACAGGGTCCCAGCCGCATATTGTTGGACTCATTGCTAGAAGCATCTTCATTAGCAATGAAGTCCAACGATACAGATGATGGGATTTTTTTTAAAGTATCCTGTCCAACCCCCTCCACACATCCAAACTGTAGTAAAATGCAGTAAAACTTATTCTTTCCAACTTCCAATCTGGACTTGTGGTTCCATTTCTTCAATGATATAAGATCCTGTTCAGCTCCCATTTCTTCCATGAAGCTTCTCATGACTATCTACTTCCCAAACTCCATGAAGTCCCATCCTAGATGAAAGTGATCTCTCCTCAAATTTATCCTGGAACTTTGGATCTCTGTCTCACTCTTCCTTTTATCATAGGGTTTTTTTTTCTTCTGTACCTTTTTTTTTCTACTTACCTATTCAGTCATCAACTCTTTGAGTTATACCTGTCTATAAGATGTCTGATCAACACAGTGACCAACCATGATTCGAGAACACTGCTAATGAAGCATTCTAGCCATGTCCTGACAGAGAGGTAATGGACTAAGGCTGCAGAATGAGTTATCTCTTTTGGCCCCAACTGATGCAAGAATTTATTTTGCTTGACTATGCAAATTTGTTATAAGGGTTTGATGTTGTGGTGATTATTTTATGGTAGGATTTAGGGGAAGGATAAAAAAATGGATTTTTGTTCATTGAACAAAAATAAAATTTAATTTAAAAAGAGAGAATAGGATCATGTCTCATCTTCCTTTTGTATCTCTAAGCACTCAAAATACTGCCTTGCACATTATAGTGTCTAAAATGTGTTGAATTTTCCATGTCTTCCTCACCAATGCTATATACATTTGAAATTTCAAAGAAAAGAGCCACAACCTTACCCACTTTAAGCTGACCAGAGGGTTAATACAGTCAATTTAGTGGGTGTACTTACTCATAGAAGGATACAAGATATGTGTGCCCCAC